TTACTGATCAATATGTAAAACGACCCTCCTGTATCCAGCCTGAAGAAATTGCTAACGCATATACAAAATATTAATTAACCATTTAATCACTGTAGTTTAACGACTTGTGGTACTGGCTTTCCTAAAGTCTTTCATATTGATATATTTTTTCTCCACTTCTTAGCTTATCGGCAGCTCAATGGTTCACAGAAGCCAATAGTATCTTGCAACGTAAGCTACCAATCTTTCTTTCCCAAGTTTAGAGAGTTATTGTGGCTTATAAATCAAACTGACTGCTTAAAGAAAATGGAATGCTAATGTGTTTCACCAAATAGTGTGAAGGAACTGGGGCTGCTTTGTCAGAACTACTGTTCGGCTTCAAATTCAATGCTGGTCTGAAATGATGAGCACCATAAAGTTTAAGAAGTATAATCCAAACATGTGAGCTACACACAAAATCACGGCGGGCACAGCCGTATCACTTTTCACTTGTCTCCACTTCCTTTAATACGGCCCAGCTGTAGTTAGTATTCTGTGAAGTTACGCTGTGCTGAATGGAGTAGCATCACTATGAGGTGCTCTTACACATTCACTTTTGAATTTACGGCCCATGAGAAACATATTTTAAAACAAAAATCCAGCCATATTTCATCTTAAGAGTACTTTGATAGAGGAAATGTAAAATTCCACTCGCAGCTCTGTCAGGAGAGAGGGAAAACTGATGGCCATGCATGTTAAAAGCCTATGTGCCATCAAAGCCCCTTGGGCTACAAAGGGCTCTTTTAGCAAATGGATGGCAGCAGCTGCAAACTCTGGGCTGTTCTTAATGTGCACGGTGCAGATGTCTGCACTTGAGTCCCACAGTCTGAGACAGATCTGTCTGGCTCTACACTGAGCCTCTCTCATCATATCATTGCAGCTTCATTAAGCGCTGAACTCAATACCAACATCTGCCTGGCAGTTTTTGCTCTCCAATTAAAAGGGAAAAACACTTAAAAGGTACAGTTATAACCACTGGAGACATTTTGCTTTAGATTATATGCATCCTTTTTTATATTAATGTATTAGCCTGACTAAAATGATCATCGTGATACTACACTACTGACCTTTTCTGTGACAAAAGCAGTCAACACCTTTAAGAAATTGTGTCTGAATGAATGACATTTCCTAACCATGACTGATTGTATTGGCTTTTTTAAAATGATTTGATTAGTCTCGCACTCAGGCTTTAGAACTAGAGCAAACAATGGAGGGTAGCATGGATGCATCCCAAGTTGATTTTGATTCTGAAAACTGGAACAGCAATGAAAGTGGAATACACCACTGTGACTTTGTCTCATAGCTGGATAGGAGCAGAGCGACATATGGGTTTATATATTGACCTCACAATGTGTTGAATTGTCAAACCAGAGGAACATTTATTTGAAGAACAAACCTTTTTATGTTTTACACTTAAGCCTCACAGAAGGTGATTTCGCTGACAAATAAATCCAAATAAGCACCTGCATGAGGCGACAGGGATACAAGAGCTGCAATTACCAAAATCAATACACAGGGATAATAAATGTGTTGCAGACCATATTCGGTACATCTATCCAATCAGCGAACTTGGACAGAACATTGTTGACTATTGAACTCATTTAATGCTTAAAACAAATACAAGTTACTTCACTGGGTCATCACAATTGAACAATAGATTTTTTTTTTTCATATTTGTAACACCCTCAGAAATATACATTCACATGGCTGCATACAGACACTTTCTCTCTTCTGATTTTCTTTCAATAACATTACATCGACAAACTGTATGCGTCACCCCTTTTGTATGACAGTGAAGCTGCTAGTGGCATTTTTAAAAAAACGTACCGGAGGAGCGTTTCTAGGGTTGGACTTTGGAAATAAGCTATCCATCGACTTCATCTATCCATCACCAAGTCTCTATGTTTGCAGTCAAAATAGGTATATTTTACATGACAGGGTCCCTACGCAGTTGTCCCTAAATAAATCCCAACTATAATCTCAACCGTATGTACAATATTTACAGTGGAATGTTGAACATACTGAATACAAAAAGTAGATTAGGATGGAATGAAGTTACAGTCAGTATTACAAAATAGAAACTCATAACACCCTGACAACATGAAGACAATGTTAACATCTACCAGTATACAGAATGTCCACTCCAAATTGTTTTTCTTTCTCTACCGTTTTAGAAGCAAGTGTGGCAGTGGCTTTCTAATGGATGCAGAAAAAAGGTGAAATTAAACCCTAAAGTTGTGCTTTAAAAGGAGTCGGTCTGATCTCTACTTGGGGCCAAAGTTGCTTTTTTTAAATTGGATTTCAATCTTTTTTCACTAGATTTCATGTTTCAATTGTTGTGCTTTGAAAAGTCAGCGATATGTGACAACGTTTGATCTCTTTAGGGTCTTTATTGATAAGAGAGGAAAAAGTGCTGTGTCACCGTGAAGCAATCATTAAACGTTAAAAGGGCTTCTAAGAGATGAATTGATTTTGAGATCAAGACACATTGTTAGTATCAAATTGGAGCTCGGGGGGAGTAACATCCCCACTATACTAACTACAATTCACTGCAAGTGAAGAACGATCATTTGTCTGATTTTAAGAGGTTTGCAGTCTGTGTCATATTTCAATATTACTCTTTATGTTATTCTTCTGCATGAATAACTTAAAACGCTGGAGCAGCATCTGTCTCCTGTCTTTGATAGGCACTGAATGCACAAAAAGATAAAAACGTTTTGTGTCTATTATGCTGTGATATGTCTGTAGAATTAAAAAGAAGAAGTTTCAGCAAAGCCGTTCACCTTTTATCAAGTGAACGATAAAATAAAGGCAATATAAATGGGATTTGCTTTTGCACTTTGAAAGTAGCAACCCAGATGCTGCTGTCGTTTAGTTTTCTCTCGCTAAAACCTGTAAGCCACCATGTATGTTCTCAATCTCTAGTGGATACACCGAACAAAAACTAAAATAAGGCAGTAGAAAATGAATCTTAACTGAAATCAACAGGCTTTTGATAAGACCTTTTTATCTCCCACTTTTGTAATGTTAATCTTGTGTTGAAAATACAATAGAAATTGAGGCTCATGATTAACATGCTCATCTAAAAACGTACAGTAGACAAGCATGGACTGTAAAACATTCACATCTCCAGCGAGCTGCTCCCAGGGAGATGTTATTTTTTCATATTTATATATATATTTATATACCTTTTTTTAAGTGTTTAACTGCAATATTGTTCCTGGGTACGGTGTGCCCATACCTTTGTTGTTACCGACAGCACTGACAAAGTGTCGTCTTTCGAGCTGCGAATGAGGACAAACCCAATGGATTTTATACCGAAACGAAATTTGTGTTTCATCCACTCCAACACAAAACATGCATAAAATAAGGCTTAATAACATATTTATATTGTTCAGAGCGAGTCAGATGTGATGCCCATATCCACCGATTTACTCCTTTGCATCGGTTTTATCGGATATTTCACATTGAACTTTTTTTTTGTTCCAAGGAAATGCATTTTGCACTCCATCCATCCACTGGCACTTATTAACAGTGATTTAAAAAAAAAGCCAGATACAGCCTATATAACACCTTCTGACAGCCCTATTGGCAGATTCAGATGATTAAGAAAAGGACAACCATTCATTCCTTTAAAATCCCCCATACAGAATTTCATTTTAGAAAGAAAAAAAATAAACAGATGGAAAATAAACCCAATGAAAGCAGCAGGTGACTTTTTATACTCCAGCATGGCCACCATTCATTTTTCAATTCCCTTTACATGATAAATGTTCTCTCAAAGTCACAAATGTAAGCATCTGTTGACATTTCTCTCCTATCCGTGTCCTTTGTGTCCATGGACATCTCCTCATAGAAAATGCTGTTGGTGTAAGGGCTTAAGCCAATTCTTTCAGCACACAGTCACATATTATAAGGAGAGGCAGAGTCATTATTTGGGAAATTCCTCAGACACTTTTCTCTGACATCCATTTGATAAAAGAAGGGTTAGAACAACACAATTATGACAACTCAACATAGAAAATAAAACAGACATTTCATTATAGTGGTAAGATCAAGAGCTCGTCAACCTGTTAAAGTCAAGTGACAATCATGATATTTCAGAGCATTATTGAAGGTTTTTTTATGACTCCGAGACTCACCAAACCTTATTTGGACGTGGTTGTGATGCACCAATGAAAAAGTAGACATTTTTGCAGCCCTTCTCTCTGCTGTACTCTTATTCACTGATGTGGAAACGTTCTTAGCGTTATTTAAATTTGAGGGGAAAATTATTGAAAATACTCAATTTGTATCTGCCACATGGCTCAGTAGGCCGACTCCCTCTCAGTTAAGTTAAACCAAGCCTATACACACAGGGGGGGAGCAAGAAATACTAAGCATGTCTTTGGAACACAGCACATAACACATCTGCTGTAAATGCTGTACACAAATGAGTTTCATGGACGCTAACCCCAGTGAGAAACAGAAATGACACAGGTGCTGTATGGCGTTTTTTTTGTTTTTCTCTGAAACATTTGACCACACAATTACAAACACATAGAACTCCACCTGTAATTATGTCGAACATTTAACTCTCATATCTCTGCTCACTTAAAAATCATACAAAAAGACTTTATAAAAATAACAAAAACGGCAATGGCAATAAAAAAACAGAAATAAATCCGCACATCCAGTGTAGGACTTTCACAAGTGTGCTCAGCAAAACCTCAACCTGTAGTCTCTTTTTATACATGTAATACATTTATAACATGGAAAAATACACAAAAAGAATATTACACCAGTATTAATCAACCAATCACCTGTCTGGACTCGTACTCAAGTCCGTTTACATACCTTAGTTTGTACTCTTTGCCCATTCACCTGATGGAACTGATACCAATGCTGTCATGTTGAGAAGTTGATGTTTTGCTAGCACTTTAAATAGACGCTTGATTTTCTAATTGAGATTAGTTTGGATGGGGTCTGATATGGGGGGGGGGGGGGGGGGGGGAGGGGGGGTTACTAGGTTGAGGATAGTGGGCTGTGTTGGGGGCAGCTTGACGAATGGGAGGGTGGGGTGGTGATGGAGGTGAAGGGTGCAGTGGAATGCAGGTGAGGGGGACCAAAGGGTTTGGTTGTAGCATGCCACTAAACATACCACTCTTTCTTAGAAATGACAGAGCCGTCGGTTTGTGAGATCATATCATCGGCTATCTCAGGTTCACGATCATACTGGAAATTCAGAGTCCGCTCATCATAATCTCGGCTCTCCCCTTCATCCACAGTGAAATAGGGCCTCTTCAGGTCCTCTTGCTCTGGGTCAAAATCGGGCACGCTCGCCTCAAACCCAGCGGGGCCGCTGATCTGGGCGGGTTTCTTCTCGTCGTCTGAGTCGTCCGGGTACAGGAGGTTCGTGGGGATCGGAGGGTGTGCGGGCAGACCGCCGGCCTTACTGTACCCGTTACCGAACACGTGTTTCTTGGTGCTGTAGTCTCCTTTGAAGGTGCGCTGGCGGTGGCGCAGGTATACGGAGAGCAGTGTGGCCGCCACCCCCAACAGGGCGACTCCCCCCACAGCGCCCCCGATGGCGGCGCCTGCATTGTACTGGCTCGGCGTGACGTCAGGGAGCCTGGTTGGCGGGTTGTTAGGGAATTCTGGGTAGGAAAAGACAGATGGAAGGGAGTGTGTCAGTGCTCTGGTGGGAGGAGGTGCATTTGTGCAGGTGCAGATTTTTTTTTTTATGAAGTAAGGGAGACAAGGACGGAAAAGCAAAGGGAAAAGGAAGGACCCCCGGCGCCATGACAACCCCCCAACCCCCCCAATCCAAAAGGAGACCTCACCGAGTGTGGCAAGGCTCCGTCGGTAACAGGCACATGCAGTGTTAGAGATGAAATAAAGAGCCAGTTCAAACAGAGAGTAAACAACTGAAGAGATCAAAATGAATGAAGTTTGTCAACATGCATCAACCATAGCTTCTTCTCTTCTCTTTGAAGGTGGAAGAAAATGAAACCATTTTATAAAAAAACATTTCAGTCTTTCAGTTAATACATTCAGCTTAGTCGGTTAGTAGTACATAGAATGATATATTGTAGTACAGTCCAGCATGAAAGAGTGCATCATGACATATAAGCATCTTCATCATCACTGTAGCAGTAATGAAATGGAAGAACACTTGCAGAGATGATTATTAGTAGCCAAGCATACACAGCCATGATGCATCAAGAGAGCTGATAAACATGAAGCTCCTGCAGTCAGGCAGCAGAGCAGACAGCACAGAAAAATATACATTATTCAGTAAAGAGAAAAGTATCAAATGAGTCAAAGACGTGCTCTTATAAAGACAACATAGTGACTATGAATAATTGCCTGCAAGAGACAAACAATACCCAAGATGCAAGAGAGTAACAGCTACGATTTAGCCTTGCAAATTCAAAAAGACATTGTTTTGAATTCAGAACTGCCAGCGTCATACCATATCTAGAGCTAAACTGAAACATTACATTCATTCCACCATTTTAGAGCCTCCTCACGGGAAGGGAACAACGCTCACAACAAGCACAGCTGTAGCTTACAGTGAATCAAAGCGCTGAAAGCCAATGTCCCTTACATACGCATCTTCACTTACAAAATATAAAAATGCAGAGCTCTCTGAAGCACAGACAAAAAAGACGTCTTTATGAAATGTGATTAAAGTCTCAAGGCGCACAAGGTAGCGCTTGTCTAAACCTGCATAGCACAGGCACATTTAACTTCCAAGTCCTCAACAATGAGCTGGAAAAGATACAACAAAAAGAAGATACTGAAGAAATGGTGTGGGAGAGGACTGAAGACAAAGGAGATGGAAACAGCGAGGAAGAAGGGAGGGAGAGCCCAGCTCACGCAGGGCAAACTACAGACTTGGTATGCAACAAGGCATGACACAGTCAGATGAGATAAAGAAGAGATTTACTGCCATGATGCTATTTTTGCCTTCTGTATTACCATCCTGTTATGACACATAATCTAGTAAGCATATATATTATCTCTGTTCATCAGATGAAAAAAAGCTGGATCAGATCAAACAGGTTCTGCAATTCTCAGGAGGCAGATTTGACTGACAAAGACATCATGTTCATTCTTGATCCACCATGACTTACATTTACATGAATAAACATCATCATGTCACACCCTACAATGTAACACATCTAAAAAGAAAAGGGTATACTGTATTCGTGTTCTTATACAATTTGATGTACGCTATATGGAAACGTATGGCATTAAATCTAAGTATAAGTATTCATGTGTGAGTATAAGTGTGTGTTTAAGATTATGGAGTTTCTATATCTAAAAAAGCGATTGAAATAATATAAACATACAACTGCAAATCTAAGACAAAATGTAACCTGAACAAAGAAACACTTCAAAAACATTTGTTCAGCATTCCTGAAAGAATAACAAGTTCATACAAAAAATATCCTAATTATTCCTGTTACAGTTGGTAGGCAAGCAGCTTTTTTAGTGTAAAAATGTGCCAATTCAAAAAGGAATAGCGTATATTGTGTTTTTTTTACCAATCACACAAAACTGTTTGACACATTTTCCTTTTTTTTGGGCAACCAGTGCCTTCATTGTAGAGACAGGCTTAAAACGGGTAGACTGAGGGGATGAAACAAATGGCCCCGAGCCGGATTCAGACCGGGGTCCATTGCTTGGCGACCAAGCCACAGTACATGGACCGCCAGCTCAACCAAGTGAGCTATACAGCGTTCCACTTGAGACCATTTTGTGTAGGATTTATTTTCATCCGTAGCATTATCCAGGTTTTTAGCCTATTTCTGTAAGTTGCTTATCAATTAAGTTTCTTAAAGATACGAATCATTGATTCTTAAACGCATCGATCATCTTCCCATTCCTAAACTGCACAAATGATTTACGAAGATGTCAATATGTAAAGCCAACAAACGTCAGACAGCACGGTTTCCTCCGTATGGCCCTAAACAAGAAACTGTTTAATATAGTCAATTATGGTTCGGTGATGTGGAAATGTCTTTCTGGGATTGGAAACGAATCATAAGTGATGCAAAATAAAAGGTTTGTGTTGAGCAATCTTAAACGTTCCTTAGAGATATACAATTCTCTCTGCTGCCTTGCGGGAAGTCATATATAGTCGAATCAGAGCATTACGGCAAAAACAACCAGCCGATCTGAAAACCTCGGCTACTCATCAAGCAAAACCTAAAAGACAAATTCCCTTATAAGCAGAGAATGATTTTTTAAATGATTGCCCTTATTGGTTAGATCAAAACCATTATACTCAATTAGAACTGCTTTTAAGTGGAAAAGATTAATCTCTGCATAACTCTGGAAGAAAGGGATGGACTTGGGCGAAGATGAGAGAAGCTTTGGAGCCGTCCCCTCTCCTTTAATTACAATGGCACCCTATCAGTCCAAAGGAGCGACGACCTCCCGAACACAGACACTCTCCTCGGTTGCTCTTCCATCGGCCCCCTCTCTCCCAGGGCCGGCAGCAAAGCTCTCCAATTTCTAAAGCGGTGCCGGGCACAGTCTCAAATATCAGCTCAGGTTTTAATCTCACTACCTAATGGGATTATTCAGACAGAGGCCTTCATTACACACATGAATGAGAGAGCAGGGCCAGGTCACCCCTGCTCGAGAACACATCCTTCCAGCAAGCTCAAAGACGGGGTGAAAATCTAGAGGATGAAAAAAAAACATTCTCCCATAATCCTCTCCTCTACCAGCAACTGCCTTCTAATGCTAGGCTATGTCTTCCCTCTCATCCGTAATTAGGCAGCTCCCTGTCTTTACATTTCTATAGTTGCCTCGAAATGGACTACTTAGACGTGCGAAACACAAGGCGGGGTCATAAAAACTACAGAACAGAGGCAGTAAAAGAAGATGCAGTGAGCCTTCAAAGGTGCTCCCTATCACCTCCATTTCTATAAAGGATCAGGTGACAGCACCTCCTGACACCCATATTTCAAAGAATGTGCGTGTCAAAGCTAATAAGAATGGGTTATAGTCCATACAAAATACAGACATGAAAGCAGATGTAAACATGCAGGTATTGTTATGACTCTTTGGCCATCTCATCCACCTCCAAGGTCTCGGAAGATGCCGGAATTTAGAAATGGAGCCATTAAGACGTGTTGCTAAAGGAATATAATGGAGGATAGAATGTTCAGGTCTACCTCTGTATTGGAGGTACTTGAAAAGCAGAAGAAAGAAGCTAAGAAACGCCACGAAGCGCTCATCAGACCACTTCAGTGCAGTGAAGGAACATGCTGATTGTGTTTTGCAACTCAAAGAGGTGTATTGGCAAAGAAGAGTGTCTGTTCTCACGGCGTTATCCAGCTATGTACTTATCCATCCGCAAGGTCACATAGCAACCTCCCATTCAGCCTCCTTGGCCTTGTATGAGAGAAGATAAGGAAGTATTTATCAATTTCACCAGCGCTGTGCCTTTGTTACTATGTACATACTATGAGAATGTGAAATAAAAGTAGCTATGGTGCGAACGTTACAGAAACGCTAATAATATAACACATTTTGAAATGGTTGGGGTACGTAGGAGGGAAGAGGCGTTCCACCAGCACGCCATCGCTCCAGGCAACACCTGCCAACACGTAGATACAAAATACCTCAAAGCAGCACAACAGCAGCCCTGATACTGTTCCAGGCAACAAAAAGCAGTGTCTATTAAAACCACGCTGAAAAAACGCAGATAGGGGGGTAACCTTGAGTTGCTACAACTAAAATGTACTATTGAGATTAATAGATGACAGGATGTGCTATGAAAGGCTATAATTCAATCCAAAAGCATGATAGATGTATACAGGTAATGAACAACATGAAATACTGCGGCCGTTTAGGTGCTGCAACCATGCTGTTTTGTCTTGCATTAATCATACTATTTTGAACACTCACATTTAACTTGATCGAGTGGATGATTTACAACCCCGGACCATTTTCATTGACAAAATCTGTTTCCTTTGCAATCCGATAAGTGCTCTCACTCTGACTCATTTGTGTAAAACAGGAGGGAGTCTTTAAGAGAAACAAATGGTAAACAAAATGATGCACACTCTTGCCAGATTTGTGGCTTCAGAAAACAACATACATTCAGAGCAAGGTTTTGTAATTCTAATGTAGGAGAGAGCACACAACAAGCCAGCAGCACACTGTTCATAGGGGGCTTTAAAAGGGAGAGAAACGGTATCCCAACTCTGTCCTGCAGGTACTGTTCCTGGGTGTGCTCCAGTCATGTCTGCACATGAAGAAAAGGAGTACTAGACAGGTACAAACATTCCTGAGTCTTAGAGCAATCACTCGGACAAGGTGTTATGACAGAGAGACTGAGAGAATGGGAGGGGATTTCAAAGGGCGGCGCAGGGAGTGGTGTTTAAATACGACTAAATGAGGAACACGCCGCAGACAACAGAAGATGAAAAGAAAACAGAGGGCTACTCTAAGAGTTTGACGAGTGGCAACAAGGAGGAAAAAGGAAGATGGAGCGAGTGCCTCTGAGAAGCGGGGGAGCGACAACGGCAAATAAAGAATGGCGTAATGAGTGAGGAAGGAAGGGGACAAACGGGGAAGACGCATTTATTCAGTGGTTTCAACGATCCTCATTACTCCCCTGTCTGAATTTGCC